CACAATAAAAGAAACACATTTATATCGTATTTTTAAGTAAATGGCGCTTTATAAAGCTTGACAAATTTAATTGATCTCAAGCTCTTTGGGCTGTGAAGCTTTTTTATCTCCTGAAAGAAAACAAAGCATAACCGCCATTTCCTCTACATGATTTATCCGCGTGTTGATCTGCTGTTTGCAGAGAAAACATCATCCAGCCGATGGGAATGGATGAAGAGGGGAAGCTGGTCCCGATGGCGGGTCTGGAGGAAGCAAAGTCCGAGTCGGAAAACGAGGCAGAATCAGACAAAGACGACTGAAACACGACAACCTCATGAATCCACTTTATTGATTTGGTTTTGTAAACATTTAATTTCTCCAGTTTGGTCGGTACAGGAATGGGATGCTCTGATTGGAACAACAGAGGACAAAAGATGAAATTGTTTGTCAGTGACGGATGGATAAAGAGGATTTAAAGAAACAAGATGTAGAGCACCTTTCACATTGGTCTGACTTCAGATTTCACTTCTTATTTGTGTTGTAGTTCCTGAGAAGAAATCAGTTTCGTTGTGATTATGACATCAGTGTTTTATTGCAGTTTGTTCTCTGTGTATTAAAAAGATGGCCCTTTCTAAAGTTATCCAGTATTTCTTGATCAGCCAAGATTACAAACATGAGATTAAGTTTACAGCTTGCAGCAATTATTTAATGTAACAGGACATCATGGAGCACAGATGAATATAAAACTGCAGCATGTTTTGAAAACAAACTGAGACAAATTCACATTTTTTTGCAGTAGCACAATCCCACATTGAAATAAAAGAACAATCGTCAAATGTACCACTGTTGCCTGTTGATGCATATTCAGCACACAGCAAGGCTAATATTAGAAATGTCCTGCCCCCTAGTGGCCTAAAGCCTAAATTAGTTAAATTTCACAGTAAATTCAAATGGACAGTAATGAAGCATTTTCTAAACCGTTCTTATGGGTTAAAAAGACAATCTGTAAATTTTTTATTAGTTATTCATGACATCCTGTTTCCATCATGTTGAAACATCATATGACAATTCAAAATGGGAAAAATAGAAGAACATGGCATTTAATAAATGCAGATGTGAAACAAGAAATGACATAAGAAAAGGGAAAACAGTTAATCCGTAGTTTAAAAAATTAAAACAAGAAACAAGAACAAATGGGTCCAGATGAAGACTAAACTCAGATGAAAACATTTATTATTTTCTGCAGTAAATAAGATCATAATCAGGACAATATAATCACCAACGAGTGAATTAGAATCTGTGGTGGATGTTTTCATTGCAAGAAATTATTTTAAAACTACCATATTTTTGAAGGGACTCAAATAAGTTTTACAAATTATTCATTTTGTGTATCGAAATCCAAAGATAAAGGAGAAAAACAAACATATTTATAGTCACGTGCATTACTTTGTTCAGTCCCAGCTAACGCAGCGACAATGTGGTGATTATTTCTGCAGGATCTGTTTGGCGTCAAATAAAAACATAATAAACTGAGATGTCCTCACATTGAAAGAGGGACAAAAACAAACTCATCAGTAAAGATCCATCATTTCCTCCAGTGACATCTGCAGTTCCACAGACCGCAGGGAGGAGGCGCCACATTCAACAGCTGCGTTCTTCAGAAGCTCCATTGAAGTGGGAACCACCTGAGAGAGAAGAAAGGAGACGAGTCAAACTCATGATCCTGACAACTGAAAGGATTTACGTTCAGTTTTCTCTGTTTTCCATTCAGTCATTTAAAATGAAAGCCTTCCTTCACCTCCACCATGATGAGTTTTTTCTCCCAAGGCTTGTTTTCCGGGTCAGGCCACTTTTCCCCGAGACAGAAGAACATGGAGGACGCTGGGGATTCCTTCCCATCAAAAAAGTCCATTAATCCTACAGGAAATAACAGATAACATGCTGCATATCTAGTCACACACAGGCTCCCTTAAAGGCAGACGTTTCCGTACGCACCTCGGATGAAGTCCTTCACCTGGTAAAGAGGTTCAGGATTCAGTTTAGAAATCTCGCGCGGCTGCATGCTGCTGTCAAACTTGGAGAAGCTCCAGTAGGCTTTGACGTCGCCGCGCCGCTGGCCGTAGATCACGTGCTGCGACATGCCCACATCCAGGCTGCCCAGGCTGTCCAGGATCCTTTGGGTCAGAGAGGCTTGGATTTGATCCAGGATGCCAACCGGGCGCGGCAGAGAGACGATGCAGAGGCCCGTCTCATGATCCAAAACTGCATCGTTTACATCAGGCCTGACGTGATGATGAGACGGAAGAAGAAGAGTGGGGTGAAGGTGACCTGTAGCGCTTCTGAGAACAGGTTAGCATAGATCTGTGGGTGACGCAAAATCATTCTTAGGTGAGGAGATTTCAGTCTGCTCAGTTCTGCCTATTTTGAGTTGTTTTAGGGCGTTTTGTCACTTTAAATCCAAATAAGTTGCTGCTGGCCTGAAGTCAACGTTTACACTCACAAGTGAAAATAGCTGCAATCAGATGAACCATTATACGACCATACATCTTTGAAAAGCTTTAGTAGAGCCTCCTGCACAATCAGCAAGTGGTTTCTGGATGCTAAGTCAACAACAAAACACTCGTCTGTTCCAGCAGCCATTTTAAAAAACACAGTGACCAAACGCAATGGAGCTCCACTTCGGTTGCTAGGTGATGGGCAGTGCCTGATGACCTTTGATCTTCTGAGATTAAAAGTCAGAATTCTGACTTTTATAAATGAAGGGTTATTTCTGAGTGAATGTAAAGGAGCGTCAAGGTTTGACTGAAATTTTCCTGCATGTTTTCCTGATTCGTGTTGGAACATTGAGCAACTCAAACATTGTCTCCTTCTTGATACCTGTAAACTAAGCGAAGTCCAGCTTCGTTGGGAACCTCCTGCTCAGAAACCTTCACCCCTCTGTAGAACACAGCCACCCTGAAATGAGTCTCTGGAGACGCACAAAGAGAAGAATTACAGCAAAAAAATAAACTAAATTAGTCAATTAGAATTCTGACTGTTTTGTGTCTAAATCCAAATAAATAACCAAATATTCTTAGGATTATCTCAGTTATGTTGTTAATATATAAAAACAATTACTAAACTGTTTCTTTCCTTGTTATACCTTTTTTTTTGTTTCATTTGTTTTGTGTTTTTCCACTAATGTAACGTACCGTAACATGTATCATGTACTCTGATGTAAAATTAATTAATATATATATGGAGAGCGACACAGAGAGAGAGAAAGAGAGAGAGAGAAAGAAAGAGAGAAAGAGAGAGAAAGAGAAAGAGAGAAAGAAAGAGGTTGCACTTTATTACAAATCTGTGCAGTTTTAATATTAAGAAGTTTGCACAGAATCAAGTACTTAAATTGAAATTAAAGCATTTCTAAGGATTTCTGGCACCTGTACAAACTCTGTTATCAGAAACAGGAAGCTGAATTTCCCCAGAAACCTCCATGATGTGCATGTATGTAAACTTCTGGTCGTTTTTCTTGCTTCGTGTCGTTTTTTTTCAGGAATATTTCCTGTGAGAGTGAGTGACTCACTGAAATGATCTCCATCTCTGGTCTGGTTCACCGTTTCTAGGAACTGCGCTGCCTGCTGCCCGTCGCCGTAGCTCCCCCCCTCCGCCGCTCCCCCCCCTGCTGGACGTGCCGGTTGCTCTGGCAACCCAGTTTCACGGGCTGCACCCTCAAACATCACTGGATCCTGCTGTTGCCCGGGCAACGGGTGCGCACCAATCACGAGCTGATTCTGCAGCTGCTGTTGCTCAGTAGGAGGCTGAAAGCCTGTGGTGCCCTCTGTGGAAAAGTTGGGTGAAAATGGGAAAGTGTTTTTTTTTTTTTTTTTTGCGGGGAAAGTACCGCTGGTTTGTTTTCTGCTGCAGAGATGAGGAGACTACCTGCTCCAGGGCTGATGTTCAGTCCTCTCAGACACTCCTGGAGGATATCCTGGCTGCCTGGGCTTTCTGCTGACGGAGACTAATGTGCTTTAATAAAATCAGACAGTGATGGGTGAATCAGAATAAAAGCTCCTTGTTTACCTGCGATCAGAATGTCCTCTGGGTTATAAATAGGTCCAGTAAAGAATGGCACAACCCCACTCTAAAAATCACAGAAATATCTCAATAAATTCAGTCATTTTGCTGCAACTAATCATTAATTCATGCATCACGAAAAACTAGGATATGAACAGAAATCTGAGACGGTAATCGAACATTTAAAATCCAAATATAAATGTTCACGTCATTATTTAAGGTCTTGTATTCAATAATTTAAAATGTATGTACAAAGACAATTTTAGCAAACACTATGCAAAACAGATGTGGAGAAAGAGAAATACAACTTAAAACAAACTGAAAATTTAATTCAGAAAGGCATTTCAGTTAAAGGGATTATTTTGACAGTGAGATAAAATATAAATCTTTTTCTGCATTTAAAAGAAATGAGAAAATTATGATGATGAAGCTATATGGGACTAAATGAGCTGATGTTTTGTTGGAACATCTTCTGATCTGAAAGCTGATTTTCTTTTCATATGAATGGAGTTTATGCTTCTTTCGGCTTCTTTTCATTCACGATTTATATTAGTTAGATGAACTGTTCATATTTATTACTGAGTGAATAAAATAAAATGAATGAAATTAGTTTTATGTCTGATTGTGTATTTATTTTATTCTTTATTGATTTATGTACTCTTATAACTTTAACTATTGCAAAAAAACAACATGACCTACAAGCAATCCGTACTTCAATCTAGTGATGATTATTTGACTTTTTTTTTCACTTTTTCTTTCCATGTTGTGGTCTCTTATGTCCTTGTGTGTTAAAATTCAAAGTCCACACACACACACACACACACACACACACACACACACACACACACACACACACACACACATTGCATCATTGCGTACCCCCTGGGGATTGTAGCCGTTCAGAACATTGGCGTCTTCTTGCTCCTGGGATCTAGAAGACGATGGGGCTTTTGATGGTAAAGAAAAGTAAACAGATTGTTACAGTTTTAAGTTTTATAATCATCAGGAACATTTGGATCTTGACCCCTCACCTCCTGACGCCGACTCCTCCGGCCAGCGGTAGACCTTATGTGGGTTGGCGGCGTCGTTCTTGTTGTCGGACACCATTTTGAAGCCCTTCGCTCTCAGGGCGCTGCGGAAGTTCCTCTTCCAGACGGAGGGGTCTCCCTGAGCCCGGCCGTTCCCGCTCACCTCCGCCCAGGCCTGCAGGGGGAGCAACAAAACAGACATTTTTACATCTTGTCATTTATCTCCATTGTAGCATGAGTTGGGTTTAAGATGGAAGGTAAGCAGTCAATGATTTTCAGCCAAATTGATGGAGAGCCAGAGAAAGGACTATATCTATAAAAATAACTCACTGAATGAATTAAGTTAATGTTACTTAGCATATTAGTGTAAAACAACATGCTAATGATAGCATTTGAGCTAATTTTTTACTTAAAAGCTAAAGTTAACTTACTGAATGGACTGAGTTAAAGATGGTTAACATTAAATCAGTTCAATACTACCAGGCCTGTAAGCCTACATAATCATGACAGCATGAAGCTAACTTTAGCCTTTTAGCTAATTTTGACTTATATTTTACAATAAATTAGGTTTAGTACTATATAAAACATGCCTTAGTTTTTACTTTGCATTTAATTAAATAACTAATTGAATAGATTAAGTTAATGCTACTCAATATGATTGATAGTGTAAACCAACATGACACATGATAGCATTTAAGCTAACATTAGCATTTAATCTATTTTGTTACTTAAAACCTCAGGTTAACTTTCGTAGTTCAATGCAACCTTTATTATGTTTATAAGCCTACATAATAATAGTATCATTTCGGCTAACATTAGTCTTTTAACTTATTTTGGCTTCTCTACTCCATGTTTGTATTTTAAAATTAAGTTTAAATACAACTGTCATGGTCTAATAATGCAACTGCCATGAATTAATTGATGTTTTGCATAAGGTGGATAACGTTTAACGTAATAAACACATTTTTACTCACTGAATCTGTGAATTTCTGACAGAAATGTATTATTTTATGCCTCCTTTTATTAATTTGTTGGAGTGTTTTACAGCCGCCAACAGGATTTTTGATAAAGAAAATCATCCCCACAGCATCACGCAGCCACTACTGTGCTTTACAGTAGAGATGGTATAAAAAAGATGTTTTATATATTAAAATACACACAGCTACTCTCTATTTTCTGATTAGGTAACTTCTGAAGAAAAGCTGCTTGCACTGGTAAAGGTCGTACAGTAGGAGAAAATAACTAGTTTTTAATGACCTTAAAGATGAGAACATCCTCATTGGAGGAGTCCTGCCTCAGCGCGTGCTTCCATGGGATGCAGAACTCGGTTTGCTCAGGGTTGGTCCAATGGACGCCTGGATACCTCTTACTGTCGATGCTGGACTTGAGCCATGGGATCAGCAGTGGTTTTGAATGAGCCATTTCTGTAAAACCAAAAGAAACAGATGCTGTCAACACCAGGCAGCTTTACAGAATCTGAAATCAAACTTTTAGAAAACACATATCTTCTTCGAAATCTAAGTGCCACAGTCATCCAGATTTTTTCTTGTGTGAATCGCACACAGATTATAGGGAATTTATCCAATGTTAAAGTGATCCCTGAACTATTCTGGTCCTAAAAACACCCTCAATAAGAGCGGATCTTAACTGTCAACCAGTGGTGGGCTCTGCTAACTAAAAAGCTAGTTGTGCTATTCCTAGAACACTAATTATAAACATTAGTTCTGCTAACAATAAAGCGCTACACCAACACAGTTTAGTGGAAGCAAATGCTAAAGCATTAACTTCAATTTAAAGTATATCTCTTTTAAAGACTACAACCCTCGAGCACCAATTTCATTTTGAAATGCTAATTTACATACATATAAATGCCTTCTGTGTCTGTGGTTTATGTTGTCCCTTTATGTTTCTTGCTTTAAAGTTACTCAATTTATTGGGGCAAAAAGAGCAAACACATGGAGAGGAAGTAGAACTGCGGTATAAACAGTCTTCATCCTCTTCACAATAAGAGCATGAATACAAATGTGTACTTAACAGTCGATTACCAAGTAAATTAATGCTTCAGAATTTATCTGGGAGATTCATTTAGAGGAAGGTATGTGTGCTACGTGTTTTCAGAGTTAGTAAAAGTGCTAAAGCGCTAAAATTAGCTACATTAGCTAGTAGCGCATTAGCATAAGTTTGTCATCTAATGACAGGAAGAAGCACATCCATGGCAACTCGCATGACTTGGTAGAGATGCATTCAAAGTTCGTTAGTCGTTCCTGAGATTTATTTACCTCAATAACCATCTTCCTCCTCCTCTTCCTCACTGTTCCTGGGGCAAAGTGGCAAATCTTTCTTTTTGTTGCCAATTTCTGAATTTTCCTCATCGATAAACACCTTTCTTATTTGAAAGCATCACCTTCATAAAATATCAGAAGGAAATGGGTATCTGTCTGATATTTAAATAGCAAATAATGTTTTACTAAATAAACATTTTAAAAAGTTAAATATACATATAAAAATTGTCAAATGTGATTATCTTTTCAACAAATTATTTTTGAAGGTGGATTTGTTGATATTTTCTCATTGTCAGAGTGAGTTGCATTTTATATCAGGAAAAAAAATAACAGATAAGAGAAAACTCAAGTACAAACATTTGATATTGAGTGTTTTGTTTGATACAAAAAATAAGAAACATAAAACAGTTTCTGTTTCATTTCTGTTAACAAACTTCAAGATCTCGATTGCGTTTTACAAGAATAACAGAAAACAGAAACTAACATTAAATTGCAGCAAAGCAAAGTTCAGGCCAAATATTAACTGGGTTGCTCTGGGAAAAATGAAGAGCCCACTGAAAACCTCCTGGGTTTTCCACCAAATACTGATTTCTGAGTTAAACATTAGTGTTGTTGTTTCTAAATGAATATGAACTTGTTTTCTTTGCATTATTTGAGGCTCTGCATCTTTTTGTTATTTTCACCGTTTCTCATTTTCTGCAAATAAATACTAAATTTTCGTGTTGTCAGTAGTTCATAGAATAAAAGGACAACATTCATTTTTACTCAAACATAAACAGTAAAATCAGAGAACTGATTATTTTAATTGGTCTCTTAATATTTTCCAGAACTGTATATTCTAATAATAAATCCTGATACAAGATTTTTTTCACACACTTTATTAGCTTGTACAATCATGAATACATATAATACTTAATATATGGAAAATTGTTACTTTAACACATTAAAAAATCATGCAAGCATTTATTTCATAAAATAGTTTAATGCGGCATTTGTCCTTGGTAAATAAAGGTTATAATAAGTTACAAATTAAGAAGAGGTTATATTAAATCCTTCTTTAAATAAAGTCTCGAAAGTGAATCCATGTAGCTGCTTTTCTCCCCACTTCCTCTAAAATATCAGAAATTTCATGAAAAAAAAAACAAGTAGTTGAGATATTTGGTAAATATTACAACTAAGGAAGAGGAAACTGACTGAAGCCAGCAAAAGTGTAATAGTTGCATCACGTATTATGATAATAAAGCTGATATAGAATTAAAATACTTAAAATATGCACGTCAGATAATGATAAATAGTGAAAAATGCATAATAATATCTTATGCATGCTGATGAGGTTTAGCAGAAATTAAAAAAACAATAAGCAGGTGATAATACACTTTTCATTAAGCCTAATTTCTATATTAAAATGTTCTTGCTGTGCTGTAATATTAGAAAGTTAAATGCTGTTTTCAGTAGTGCTTAGCAGAAAAACATCAACATGAACAGAAATAAATGCTTGACAACATCATTCTGGATGTATTTAATCTGTAAAATCTGCTTCACTTTGCAAATAGAGTTACTGACATACATAAACTTTTCAATAATATTCAGTCTTTTTAAATGTATTGTATGTGTACTACCTTTATCTTTCGCCACAATAACAGAATAATTGATCCTCTCGTACCTTTTAGTGATGCAGGTTCGGTTCGTTCGGCTCAGGTCGGTCCAGTGGTCGTTTTCGGAACCCGAAGAGAGAAAAACCAGCTCAGAGGTGGAGACACGGCGGGGGACGGCGACCAGCTGCCCTCCAATCCGAGATGCGGCTTTCTTAAAAAGCTGACACCTCCTGATTTCTGACTTTCGGAGCTTCTCACTTCTCGGGAAACTCCGTCTGTTTGTTTCGTTTTCCTGATGTGACGTCAGCACGTCGAGCCACGCTTGCCCAGGCAAGCCGTGCCTACAAACACTCACGAGGCTGGTGCCTACTTCTGAGTACCAGCGTTATGCACTTTGAAGTACGAAGATTTAACAGTATTAAAGTGATTTATTTGTCAAATTGCGTTATTTCTGCAGAACATATAGCACTTCCACACAAGTATAAGCGGTTTTAGATATTGAGTGAATTAGTATAAATTTGTTTTACGTTCAAATGTAGCTGTAAAATATTTATCTAGCTTACTTTTATCAAGTGTTACATCGATAAATGTTCTAAACTGGATTCTATGATCCTTTTTTTTTGTACATTCACTGTTTTTACATTAAAGAAATGCCAAATTTATTCTGCAAGATTTCAGCTGACTTGTTGCATGACTTGTTGATTATCTGAAAAATGCACTCTGACATACCATGCTTAGTAAATGTATTCACACCCTTCAAGCTTTTCACCCTCACTTTGTTACATAAAAACTAAACGATTAAATTTATCAAGATTTTTTGTGCGACAGATCTACACAAGGTAGAGTTTTTCAATTTCTGTAATAAAAAATCTGAAAAGTGTGGTGTGCATTTGTATTCAAACATCCTGAGTACTGGCAAATTCTTCTTCATCAGTTCAAGCTCTGTCAGATTTGATGGGTAGAGCAGCTGTGAGTCATTTTATATTTTCTCAATTTGGCTCAAGTCTGTACTTTGACTATGCCACTCTAGCGCATAAATATCCTTTCATTTAAACCATTCAGTTGTCGCAACGGCGGTACGTTTAGGGTTAATTTCCTGCAGAATGCAAACCTCTGCCCAAGTTTCAGCCATTTTCCAGCTTCTAACAGTTTTCTTACAGGATTTATCTCCATCTTTAACCAACACACAGCATGATGCAGCCATCTTTAATATTTTAATTGGAAAGAATTTAGAAATAATTTATCTCTAGCTCACAATGGAATGTGACGAGATGTGGGAAACATTTCCCCTGAGCCTCGACATTGAGCTGGAGGAAATGAAACCATTTGTTCTTTGTAGATTTTATTTGTTTTTCAAATACAGGAGAGTTAATGTACAGAAGGACAAAGAGTTTCATCAAGAACTGTACAGTATTTACACATCTTTTTTTTCCTTTTTTATGGAAAATCAGATTGTTTTCAAAATAAGTCATAGTATGCACAGACATCAAAATGATAAAAATGAAATGACTATTTCCTCTTTAAATATTACTTATTTATACTCCTCCTTCCCACACGGGAAAGGGATAGTTCTTTTCTTTGCACCTGCATGACTGATGATTGAACTGAAGCACAACAATGTTAAGTTTCAAATAAATGTTACCATTCTTTTTTCTTTTTTTTTTTCCTAATTTTTTTCAATTTTACACCCACTGTATTTGATACAATAGTTCTGTCTCGACGCCTGTTCTTCTGTATAGAGGGGAAGACGACTCGGATATGTGGGTTATGATTGTATACTGATCCTGTGGAAAATAAAAAGCTATTTAAATCGTCTGGGGCAGCAAACCAGCGCGTGTCAGAGTTTTTAAGTTAAAAACCTCCTCATATAAATAATAAAAATGCGTTCATATATTACCACACGGCCGACTGGTGCTGCCCGTCCACGTAAGCTCATGACGACCAGAGAGCGCCCCCCAACACCTCTCACGCCGCTATCCGCGATCGCGCTGCTCAAAAAGCACAAAGCACTCCCGCCGCCTTCCTCTCTTCTCAAAAGCCGACAGCTGATGTTAGTCTTTTCAAAAAAATAATTTATGTAAAAACTAAGCAGTAATAGTTTCTCTTTGAACTATTGTCTTTTTATGACACACAGTTAACAAGACGTCAGTGACTCTCCTCCGTCGACTTGGTTTTCCGGCTCCTCCTGGTTTCTCTCTCCATCTTTTTTTTCTTTTTTTTTTGTTTTAAACAACGATCCGGTTCCTCCTCTCCTTTCTTCCAGAAGGGTCCCACTCTCACAAAGTAAGACATTTCTTTAGTGATTGGTCAACAACAAGACAAAATAAAAACAGGCCAGCGTCCGAGGTCGGGTCAACAGGCCCTCTTGTGTTCGTCGAGGGCCTGGAAAACTTCCTGCTCGGATCTGAAGAGATTTTCAAAGAGGGTCTGGGGGCTGTACAGCGGGATTCATCTGGGCTTTTCCTCCAGATTCTCATTTCATTTATTTATTATTTCTTTTTTTCCATTTTTTTTTAAAGTTAGCTCTGTGTGTCTCCTCTTGAGGCGGACTCAGGCTTTGGTGCTGAGTGTGAGCAGCTCGATGAAGGAGCTGAAGAGAGTGTCCAGCCAGCTCTGGTTGGCCATGCACTGCTGCACCACTTCCTCTTGGCCCGGATCCTCGGCCGCCTGCTCGATGGTGTTGGTCTGCAAACGCAAACACAGGCAGCTCTGAGCCAAACGCAAAGCCTTCAGCACGCCAAAAACGCAGAAATCCTAAAAAATGAGGAGTCTGGACGCGTAACTGACCTCTTTCTTGCACTGCAGGAAGGTGTGGTACTTATAGTGATGCAGGGAGTGGTAGAGACTGTATATCCGGTACGTCTCAGACGACAGCTTAAGGTCCTGAAGGAAGAAACGAAGCAGGAGTTATTGGAAAATTAAAGAAAAATTATTCAAACATTCAATCTCTGACTGAATGTTTGAAATAAATCAATTAATTGCATGATAAATCAAAATAAGCTCAAAAATCACAAAACAATTCTGCCTAATTATCATCTGAGCCTAATAATATTTTTGGTTGCATTTGGTTTTTATTCTCCATTTTATTTATTATTTTGTTTTTTAGATATTCCAGTTCCATAGTTTAGAAATTATTGATTGTTGACAGGGAATATTTGGATTATCATGTCATTATCATTATATTACACAAAAATATTAGTTTATCGCATTAATTTCTAGGATAGTTTATCGTCCAATAAAGCTGAGGATGGTGATGCGCAGTCCTCTGCTCCTCCAACATGTTTGAAATATGCTCCATCCTCACCATCATGCTGCCACCACCGTGTTACACAGAGGGATGTGCAGAGTTAGTTTTCTTTCTTTTACAGCAAAAATGTTTTGCCCAAAAATAGGCAATTAAAAACAATAAAAAAACATATGTCACAGATTTTAACCAGCAAAAATACATCAAAAATCAGGTGTTTTCCTCATTACTTAAACAATTACAAATTAAACCTCAATAAAATATACTGAAATTTTATAGTGGAAGGCAGCAAAAGGTGAAAAAGATATGAGCACAATACAATTTTTTTCTTAAAATTTACAAATAAATTGTCTAAATTAACATAAAAACACAGAAGTATAACTGATAGCTGCGCTCCCACTAGAAGTTTCCAAATTTCCCAGGATTCCTCCTCAACACTTTCACACATTTTTGCCGTAACTTAATTCTGCTAATCTGAATTATTTTGGGTGACAGAGAGAAAACGTGAAGCTGTTCTGCAAACCTGCAGCAGGTGTTACTCTCCATTTAGAGCAAATGTTAATTCTGTCAAACCAAAGTTTCAGTGTCTATATATAAACACACACAACGCTACAGCTATTCCTGTCGAGATGCGTCAATCACAAGAGTTTTATTTTCATTTAATTTGATGTTTTCTCTAATTTTTGACAGTAGAAAAATATTCAGAAACACCGTTTTCTACTTCACTGCAAATAGTTATCAAATACTTAAAACAATTACAGATTTCTCGGACTGATGTGCAGTCGACGTTTTGCAGGTGCATGAAGACATTTCTAGAATCTATGCTAAAGACTGGACAAAAACTAGACTTTATATCAGTATTTTATATCTAATTTCAACATCTAATGTTTTTATATGTCTGGTAATGAAATGATCCATGTCCTGTGACACTACCTGTGGTTTAGGCAGGGTTTTCTTGACTCTGTTGAGGGTCTTTCGGTTGTAGGCGTCGCCGGTCAGCCGCACCCTGACCACTACGGTGTCCAGAGAGTCCGTCATCATTTGGGGGTAAGCATGCAGAACATCCTGACAAACAAAAACAGGGGAAAAGTTGCTTAGAAGGAGCCAAAAGTTGTAGTTTATTTCATGGTTTTGATTTTTTTAGCTACCAAGACTGAAACATTAAACAGTAGAAGGATTGATTTGATTTTTTTTTTTCAAAGTTTTTATTTAGTATTTAGCTGGATTAAAAAAAAGTCAAAGATTGTGATTTCAGTGACTTTTAAAAAGAAAAGAAAAACATCAATTTGATGCAAACAAATTTTATTTTGAAATAAATTACTGCATCAAATAAACATTGCGATCAGATTTAAATTTACTGACAACTACAGATGTAAGTAAATTAATAATAATAAGATGCATGTAGATAATAGTCACATGCATATAAAAGGGGTTGTAAAATGTTTCCCACAGTAAAATTTATGAACTTTTCAAGCATTTTTTGGTTTTCAAACATTTTCTGCAAAACTCTGGAGAGAAAAAAAAAACTATCCAAACGAACAAAGGAAAACAGTTTCAGTTCAATACTATATGATGATATTTATCACTTTTATTAATAATATAATGTGATAGTATTATACATTGTACAGCAGGAAAAGGTAAACTAAAACATAACAAATGTTCATGCTTTGAAAAGTCTCACACACACAACCCGACTGGTCTGAAAAAGTTGAAAAATAAATTTTTTTTAGAAATACTGATTTAAAACAAGAGAAGTTTTAACTTCAGACAGTGAGAAAAATGTGCCTGCATCTCATCCTTAAATACCTGCTTTCAGATATAAGTAATATTTTCCAAATGTAGGCTTTTAATCAAACCTTAAATTCCACTTTGCTGCCAAACGCTGCAGTTTAAATATCATGCAATTTCAAGGACTTTACACAGAAATCCACCAACATCCAATCCTTGAAAACACACAAGCATTTTCAAGGATTTAAATCAAGAAAAGGCCCAAAATAAAGAAAAAGCTGAACTGATGAAAGCTGCCAGGCAGGACGGATTACCTGGTGCTGGGAACTCATGCTGACTTTCCTCAACAGCCTCCTCTTCTGTTCGCTCAGGATGCTGTCGATCTTCCTCATCGGGGGCAGGTACAGCTCGTCTGCCGGCCAATCAGGGGGAGGAAAGTCTCCATTACTCATCATTCATGCAGCTGCCAGTCATTTTAATATCAAGGGCCAAACGTAAAGCGACTCGTTCTGGCTGCGGATCTGCATTT